TCCCAAATGGCACCCTAAACCCTCGCGGTCTTCCTCTGAGTCCGCACTTTCATGACGTAATGCCGCTTTGACTGTCGGGTAGAAGTCTGCTGCCGAGCTCGCACCAGTGCAGGCTCGGCAGAAGTGCGTATCGAGGGCACATAGCGGCCGCAAAGGGGGCGCTTGCGAGTACCCTATTGAACGCTAAAATGACGAATGGGACACACTACAGTCTCGTGGGCTTAATGGACACGTGCACACGGCAGTCATTGTAAGTCCGCAAGACCGATAGTGCACATGAAGTGTTCCATTTGGGACAGGGCCTGAGCAAGACCGATAGTGCACAGGAAGTGTTCCATTTGGGACAGGGCCTGAGATGTCCTATAAGATGGCTAAGCTCGATCGGTTTCCGGGTCATAGGATGGAGGACGGAGGAGCGAGGAAACAAGGAGGGATATTGAGAAGCACCTCGGGTTAAGGCTAGAAGGGAGACAGCTGTGGCTACTGGGCATGCGCACATATATATAGCGTTATTTTTGTCTCACTGTACAACAATAATTACTGTTTTTGCATTATTGTAAAGGGTAGGTTTAGGGTTGGGGTAGGTGTAGAAAACTTAATTTATTGTTAGTTTCCGGTCGGAACTGTAGCCACAACCCCTTAACCCAGTGGTTCTCAAACCTCTCCATGAAGTACTGCACATTTTGTATGTCTCCCTGTATCTGACACACCCACTTCAGGTCTTGCAGTCTCCACTAATGAGCTGATGAGTTGAATCAGGTGTGATAGATGAGGGAGACATGCAAAATGTGCAGGGCTGGGGGTACTCCAGGACAGGTTTGAGAACCAATGCCTTAACCGAACAGTGGTTTGAAAAATAGATGGATGGATGATTCAGCTTCGGGAGCCATCTTCTGGCGAGACGGGCGAATTCATAAGCATCGAATGCTTATAAATTTGCCTTTTCATACGACTGGACCACACTCATTCACTACGGTTACAGTTTTTATATGTTAAACACATTGATAAGAACTATTTTGTTTAGGTAGTGTGAGCAAGTATCAGTCCCATTGGAACTCATGTTTTCTGTCCGTTTTGCGTGTGTTCGGCTTGAAGAAATACACGATGACATTAAAAGGCTACATTCGGTAGATGTTTGGATCGAAAATCATTTATCGAAATGCGTCTGTAGCCTACTGTTGTTGCAACTTAATGACCCGTGTTTATTACGTTAACAATAACAACTTACCTGGACATACCTAGAATAAAAATGTGTGGCAACACATGTAGAAATAAGGCATATTGTACACAGTAAAACTTTCTACAGAGTGTGTGGTGGCTGCTTCATCCGACATAGCTTCACAGGCGTTTGGCTGCTTTATTTTTTAGCAACCCACCAGATGGCGCTGTTTTCGACACTCTAGAAACGTTGAATCTTTTCCCGAAACAGTCAGGGGAACGTCTCAGTGTTTTGAGGTAGAGATGGGCAGATGAAGCCTTGTAAAATTTTTGAGGGTTTTTCCTGATTGTACCAAAAAAGATTCAAAGCTTCAAAGCCTCAAAGACAGACCCTACCAGTGACATCTAGTGGTCAGCAGCAATTATAGCAGCCACTTTCAAATGATTCACACATCTTGTTGATTCCAGTTTCAACACAAAAGCAATACTCAGCAATAACAGCTGTGTCTTCCTTCTGAGAATCATTGTCCACACATGAAAGTGCCCACACGGCGGTGCTGTCATCATGGAAAGAATCAGCACAAAGGATCATGGGGGCCCGAAGTGTCCATCAGTTGTACCCTTCGAAATCCTTCATTCCGAAGGGCCCTATGAAGTGGCCAGTTTTGAGCACTTTGGTTTGGAACGACACTTCAATATGGCAGCCATGATTGTTTTCACTCTTAAGGTATTTCCCGTTTGGAACGCACCAACAGTCTTTCAAACCAGTCTGCTTCAATAGAGTAAAACAGGCTTCGGAGTCTCAGTGTCAAACGTTCCATCTCTACTTTGAGGCTTCACTTCCCCATCACTACTAACCGCTAATGCTGTTTCGCGTCCACAACACCAGACTAATGCAAACCACAATGAACAGGTTAAAAAAGGAATACATTCAAATGCTAAACAGACAACATAAAGAGCATGAAAATTAAATTGTATGACGAAAGCTTGCTTACAATAAATAAAAAAAAAATGTTTTCTGCTAGTAGGCCTGGTTGACAGGCTCACACTCAGTAATAATCAAGCTACAATCACCTCTCCATCTGGTACACATGATAGAATGTAGCCTACACAATGCATAAGGCCAGTTGTACTCTGAACAAAGTATAGATGTATTCAAATGTATTCTGAACAAAGCCTAGCAAAAAAATTGCATCTGGCTGAGTTTCATCTCAGACTGAATCCACCCCATAGCAGTAGCAGTAATGACGTCACCAGTCATTGGCTAGATTTCACTCCACATTACTGAAACCACTACAGAGACTCACAGCAATACAAGTCAATCAGACCTCAACCAACATGTGGCTTTACATCATATTTTTAATTTGTTTGGGGGGTAAGATAATTCTTATTATTTAAATTGCTTTTTGTAACGTGTGTTTAATAATGTGTTTTTGTCTAGTTAGTTAACAGAAAAGTAACTTTTAATGATTTGTAAATCAGTCCAAATCAGCATTAAACGACATGCTGTTGTTATATCTTACCTACACTTGTTACTTGTTACTACACTTGTTACCAATACACTAAATAATAAACCCTTCATATTTATTTGCTTCAGTTGTTAAGATGCGGTTTTATTTTAGGTGTGTATAATGTGGATACAAATGCAGTTAAGTCAGTATCATTGATGGAGGGAGATTCTGTCGCTCTAAACACTGATGTTACTGAAATACAGAGAGATGATCAGATACTGTGGATGTTTGGACCTCGAGACACTCGTATAGCTGAAATCTATAAGCAGATCATTTCTATATATGATAACAACGATAAGTTCAGAGATAGACTCAGCGTGGACAGTCAAACTGGATCTCTGACCATTAAAAACATCCGAACTGAACACACTGGACTTTATAAACTACAGATCTTCAGTCACAGAGGAACTTCATACAAGAGATTCAATGTTACTGTCTATGGTGAGAATTGTTTTGAGAATTGTTCATTAACTTATGTCATGATTATGCACTTCATTTTGCTTTTGAACTGAAAATCTCATATATATTCTCATAAAAACTCTAAAAATAATTTTGCCCTTTTTTAGCCCATTTGCCCGTTCCAGTCATCACCAGAAGTACTTTAAATTGTTCTTCATCATCATCTTCAAACCAGTACTGTTCACTGTTGTGTTCAGATGTGAATGTGAGTGATGTGACTCTCTCCTGGTACAAAGGAAACAGTTTATTGTCCAGCATCAGTGTGTCTGATCTCAGCATCAGTCTCTCTCTATCTCTGGAGGTGGAATATCAGGATAAAAACACCTACAGCTGTGTGCTCAACAATCCCATCAGAAACCAGACCAAACACAACATCAACATCACTCAACTCTGTCACATGTGTGAAGGTACATCATCAGTGATGTAAATGCTGATTATATTAGTACTTAATACTTACAGATTTATTCATGAAAGATTTTAGTTAAATTTACTTTATTAATGAAAATGATCAGATTAATTACAGATTTCTAGATTTTGTTCTTTATAAATACCTAGTAATTAAAAATTATTTAATTATTGCTTTATATCATGAGTTGTATTTATGCAGGTGACCAGCATAAAATATTGCTTTTTACTCCTTCAGATTTGTGTTTGTCTATAGTGGCATGTTTTAAGTCACACCCCAAAAAGATTTAGTCAGTATCGGTTTAAAAGAGTTAAAGTACATAAAGTAATGTTTCCATTTTCTTCTAGCTCCTCCCTCAGACTCTGTCCAGTGTTGTGGTTTCACTGAAGCTGTGATCCGATTGGTTGTCTCTGCTGTGGTGGGCATGACTGCTGTTGCTGTGGTGGTTTATGACATCAGATCCTGAGCTAAACAGAAGAGGAGAGCACAAATATATGAGGACTCTAACAAACAGTGTTTCTGAAAAAAGGAAAAAGGCTCTAATGTCAAGTTTATGTAGATGAATATTATAAGAAAAGTATCAGAAAACATTAGAAAGAAAATGTGTCTGTGGCAGATAGAAGAGATTTAAGGCTTAGTACATAGCAGCAGTTCAAAATTTCTAGGCATATTTAACTCAGTTCTTTTAATGTATTGTGGTGTAAACATAAAAGGAAGTAACTTTAAGATAAAATAAAAAAAATTTCTAAAAACATTTATATTTTATTTATAGTTTTAAATGGGTTTCGTATAACCTATTTTTAAATAAAAGTTGGGCCTATAAACTTGCTCCTTATAATGCTTTTAGTACAGTTGTCATGCATTTCTGTTATCCAATAAATATACAATATCTGCACCTCTCATTGGCCTATCATAGACTCTCTTTTAACATGATGTATCACTATCTAAGTATCATAATGTCTATTTATACAGTGAGATGTGAAAAGAACTGGTGGATAATTGGATGAATTGGATCACAGATGAACAGAACATAAATCTTTGAAAAGATTATAAATGTAATTTTTTTTAATCAATAATATATGAATTAAGAACCAGATATTATTTTTGTCCATCTGATTGGACTCTTGTTTCTCTATCATCTTGACATTGTGGCTCAAGCATTGATGGTTTCACAGGATGTGGTTTGTAAAGTGAAAGCTGTGACACAAAGACTAAGTCAAAGACCCCATAAATAGCAGCTCATGTAGATGTTTTGTAAGGCATTTGTGAACATCACACAAAGGAACGATGGAATCTCCGCATTCCATCAGACAACTAACCTCTCTTCTCAACTATGAGAGTCGTAAAAGCTGAATCATGGTCAGCCCAGGCGCCAACTTTCTCAAATGAGCTCCTGTCTCGCTCTGCTTATCTTTACAAAAAAACACGGAGAGAATGATTTACCAAACCACCTCCGATGTTGACAAGCACTAGGACAGCAAGAACTGACCCCCTCCCATCTGGATTCGGCAATGATTGTTAATGGATCTTTAGATGTCACACTATTGTTTATCTTACGGTCATCTGATTCAATATGCAGCATGAAGTGTCGGTGCATTTATAAACACATCTACACATCTGTGTACCGCTACATGCATTGCATGACTTCAGACGATTTGAAATATAAAGAATTACCTTAACATTCTTCAAGAATTAAAGTGAAAAATCTGTCATTTGAAAAAAAGCCATACAGATTAGAAACAACATGCGGTTGAGTAACTGATGATCAAATTTATGGGCAAACTAATTTTTAAGGAAGAGAAGCAGTTAAAAAGAGGATATCAAAATGTAGAACATGACTAGGGCTAGTGTTCATAAAGAGAACTTACACGAGAAGCATGAGAACACCACTGAAAATTCTTACAGAAAAATGTATCTTTGTGGATCAAATGCTTTGAGTCATTTGATGCACATGTAATACAAGATTGATGAGCAGCCAGGTAATGTGGTTCAGAGGGGTTCCCAAACTGGGAACCAAGGGAACTGCAGGAGATTCATGAAAAGCTAATAATGAATTAAATGATAAATGTAAAATCAAAATAAATTAATAATCAATATAAAGCACTTACTAGAAAAGTTTTTTAATTGTTTAACTGTATGTCATGTGACCAGTAACTGACATTAGAGACCTGTCACAAGAACAAGTTATTAGTATTTTGTGTAAGTGAAATGTAATGAGATCTGTTTGACAACTAAATGCCAAACAAAGGTCTTTGTCAGACACGTCAGTGGAAAAATATAGGCCTACGCAACAACAACAAAGGCAGAAAAAAAACAATGAAAACTAAGCTAGAGATCATCAGGGACTTTTGAGGGCATTTTGTTGCATCAGTTTGGGCCTTCACAAAGCCTACATTCTTCTTATTTTAACAGACGAAAATTATAAACTGTCACAGTGACAGCTCAGTTCCAAAATGATACTTGTTGAGGTCTGGTTTATTTTCTTTACAGAGTATGGAGTCTGTACTAAAACATGTTTGGTTGAGTGAAAGTAGGTGTATGGCTACACGTTTGTTGGACATTTTGTTGTTGTGGTGTTTGTGTATGGGTGGACTGACGAAGAGCTGTTTTTTTTTTCTTCACACCTAAACCCCCAGAATTTTCAGTCTTTTAGACATTTGGGACCTCCATGGCCTGTGATCTGCATCTGACGTCACCTACCAAGAAACAACAACACAATTGCTTGGTGGGCATTCTCGCCGCAAGTTTGAAATTAACTAATGTGAATCACTACAGGAGATATGAAATGAAAGCAAACTCAAACTACACTATTTCAGTGTTTTCGTAACCCTGCCCCTGAAGCTACTGCCTTCTGGTGTCACTGCAGCTGCAACAGAGGACACAAGGTGTTGGAGAAAGTAACTGAGGATTTGATATCGGAAACAATGAAGTTTGCACCAAACAGAGATAAGGTAAGACTTTTGTAGTTGTAAAAAAAAAAAAAAGCACAAATAAGGAGTAGCTTATTAAAAGTCAATTCATTGTTTTGTTTTTTGGTGAGTTTTATATCTTTATTCACATTGGGACATTGTACTTATTTTAGTTTTATTAGTTTTGATCCTCTTAAATTTTAGAGAAGGCTTTTGATATAAAAGTAAAACTAAAGTTCACAGATGTCAAAACTGTACTTCCTTGAGTTAAAGTGTGGTACTGGGAAAGTGTCATTCTGAACACGTATATTATGTGTGATATATCATCTTCTATAGCAAACAAAGGGATGGAATGAAAATAATATGTAAAAAGAAGCCTAACCCTAAAAAATACTATCTTTTGTTTTTATAGATGCTACATTCTAAGGTTTCACTTCAAGGTTTCCACAATGTCTTTTGTCATGGACAGGGGCGATTCTAGGATTTTTTTAATGGTGTGGCACAGTGGGGACCAAGAACCAGTTGGGGTGTAAAACTTATTTTACTGTCCAAACAGACTGTGTGTGTGTGTGTCTTGTGAACTTTTTGTAAAATTGTTCATATTCAGACTTTCACCTGTTGCTGCAGATAGATGGCTGCTGGTGTAGTCCTCACTGGCCCTCTCTGGCTGGCTCTGACCTGTGCTACCAGGTTCAGGGCTGCTAATTTGCTGGCCAACTTGGCCCTGCCTGATGGATTGGCTCTGACCTGCACTGCACTGTATCTTCTTGAAGAAACTTTGAATGTATTGCTGCTGTGCCTGACTTTGTCCCCTTTTCATTTTTTCCCCCCACAAAATTATGTCTAAAAAAAAAAAAAAAAAACTCTAACTTAATCATCAATATTACACAAATAGTATATTTAATAGCCATATTCTCACTGATTAAAGGCAAAATCATTTAAATGTGAAGCTGTTCTTGGACATTGCAAACGAAAATATAAAATATAAGACTACCACGCAAAAATGTTTGTTTATTCAATACAAACAGGTGTTTACTATTCTACATCTTAAAATTCCAAGTGTCAGAACGCTAACATTATTAAATCCCCACATTTTAGCATTTACCATGTTACTGCAGACTATTTGGGAAAGTTAATGTGCCTTTAATCTTTGAAACAACAGGAAGAAACGTAACATAACTATTTCTATTTTAGGCGGTGCTGGTGCATCACGGCAATTCAACTATAAGCACAAACTCTAAGGAGTTTTTCAACATACATTAACGTATTTCATATATATGAAATGAACACACGGGGAGGGCAAGCATATTTTGAGGGGGGCCGGTGTCACCCGGTGCCACCCCTCTAGACATGCCCCTGGTCTAATATCTGGTAAATATCTTTTCTTTTCTTTTTTCATTTAGTAATGCCCTTCAGAGGCTACAGAAGATACTTGCATGTTTCCCAGAAGACAACATAAGTTAAATTTACCCTGATCTTCAAATTCAAAATGTTTTCACCCTCCGGCTCTTAATGCATTGTTTTTCCTTCTGAAGCATCATATATATATGATTTGATATATAATATACATTGATACATTGGATAAATAAAATAAATGTAAAGAATAATATAAATGAATAGGGTTAAATTCAGGTTGCTTTTGAGATTTGGATCCTCTGAAATGTATGACAGTGTATAGTTGAGGTCATCCTGACAGGAAACAGAAATACTAATGATTTTTTTCCTCTTTATTATTACGGAACGACACCATTTATATACCATAACGGCAATAGTTGTTGCTGTAGTGATGCTGCTGGCGGTGTTTGTAGTTTTGGGTCTGCAGTGCCTTCGTAGCAAGAGCATACAAGAACAACAGAAGGGCAAGTATTTCTAAAACTAATATGAAAATAATAATAGCACTCAAGAGAAGTGTCAAAATATGTATTTAATAACAGTTCAATCATGACAACTCTCTGAACATTGTAGCATGGTGATGGATATGACAATGTTAATGCATTTGGTCTTGGCGGAACAGATCTGCTACGCTGCTGCTGAATTGCTGCTGCTGTTGGTTATTGCAGTAGTTGTAGATTATTGCTGCAGCTGCAAGCAAGTACAGGAACTTGCTACTGCCAATGCATATGGCGATACCGTGCCGTGAGTATTTAAGACATACTGCTGCTGCACAAATAGTAGTACTTTCTGCTGCCGCTGCTATATTAGCAACAATAGTTTGACTTCCTGCTGCTAATATTATTTCTAACATTGCATATGAAATTGCTATGCATGCTGTTGCTATTAAATTAGCTACATGCAACCTGAATACTATGCATAGTGCTGCTACAGCTGCACAAATGTACTTAGAATTGCTATAAGCCCCTTTTAAATAAACAAAACGCAAATGATGCCTATTCGCTTGAAGAGTTCACATACCATCCATTTTAGGTCACTGAAACTTCAGCAATTGTAAGTGGCTTTGGATAAAAGCGTCTGCAAAAATGAATAAATAAGAATGTAAATGTAAACTACGGTCTACCTACTGCTGCCGCTACTAAATGCATAATTTGATTTGCTCTGCATACTGCAATTAATAATTCGCTAATAACGCAATATGAAATTCTATGGATACTGCTGCTACACTCTGTGAAAG